AGGGCCTCCATGTCCTCAGTCTTGCAAAGTTTACTCCCACATTGTTTGCACACACCCACATTTTCTATGCCTCCCTGTATGTATTAGATCCATTCTGTGGAGAATTGTGAGATAAGTGATGTCAACCAAACATTTCAGAATGGTTGATCATCCTTTCTTCTTGCTTCTGAACTGGTGCTAGGAGATTACATATATTTCTTGTTATTTCTTATTAGGACACAAGTTCAAGACTGATCGAAGTAAAATTAAAAGAATACAGAAACCAGAGGTAATGAAATCAGTTAGATATTGAATTATTTGATAATGTCTTGTTTATGATACAACTGATCAGAATTTTTTGTCGTCTGCTGCTGAGTTAGAGAATGACTATCTTGCTCCCAGTCAGCTTGTTCACTGCAGCCTTTATCCTTGTTAATCAAGGACATTTCAGAAATGTTTAATACTCAAAAGGATACGAACACTGCTGTAAATCATTTTTCCGAACTGGAATTTTTTTTGGAACAATGTTGAATTCAATACATTCCTTATCTGTAATTATCTTTTGGTCTGGTACTAATTTTTCACAGTATCTTTTTAAAAGTTGATATCAATTGAACTGCTAAGCATATGCTGAAAAGACGTGAATTTCTTTACAGTGTTCAAATTCCATATATCTTTCCCTTGAAAGTTGGTTGCTATCTGTATTTATGTGCACATTATAACCACATGTAAAGTGTTATTGGTGGTGCTGTTGTGGTTTTATGTGATGACTGTGTCATTTTGATACTATTTTAAAAAGGAGAAATTCCAAAAGGAAATATTTTGAATATTTACCAGAATTTGGCAAACTTCCTTTGGTATTCAAACATTATACAGTACCATATTTGGTCTATCAGTAGAAGTTGTATTAGAGCTAATACTAGTGCCAAAATATTAGGAGGTGAAGACTCTAAGCCCTTAAAAATGTTTAAATTTCTAAAAAAAAAAGGCTGGTTTCAGTATATCATCAGTAGATGTTGGACTTCTTTCAATGGACCACAGGAGCTTGAGGAATGACCTTATAGAGGTTTATAAAATCACGAGGGGAATAGATAAAATGAATAGCAAAGGTCTTTTCCCTCGGGTGGGAACATTCAAAACTAAGAGCATATTCTTAAGGTGAGAGCATATTCTTAAGGTGAGAGAAGAAAGATTTAAAAGGGACCAGAAGCAACTTTTTCACAGAGAGGGTGGTTAGTATGTGGAATGAATTGCCAGAGGAAGTGGTGGATGCAGGTACAATTACAACATTTAAAAGACATTTGGTTAGGTACGTGAATAGGAAAGGTTTAGAGACTTATGGGCCAAACGCAGGCAAGTGAGACTAGTTTAGTTTTGGAAACATGGTCAGCAGAGACGAATTGGACTGAAGGGTCTGTTTCTGTGTTGTATGACTCTGACTCTATAAGTTAAGTAGTTCTACAGAAACACAGTGCCGTTATTTTGTTCTTCTGACCTTCCTACACTAAAGGTGTTGATTATCTTTCTGGGTAGGTTTCCCAGGCACTGTATGCTTATGACACTATGCCCATTTCTTTTGTGCAGTCCTGATTTTATTACAATGGATTTTGAGCCTGATTTGGTGGTACTCTGGCATTCATACAGCACATTTGTAGCAAAGGTTTGATGGGTAGGAATCTGGGATCAAACCAGATCAGTTGCAGGACAAGGTATTGCTTTTCACTCTGAAATCAAATAACCAGACTCAGACTGAAAATTAAGCTTGGCCCTTTCCTTAACCAATTAAGCTGCCGAAGAGTCTGTCATATCCTGATTCTTTTAGAAATCATAAATGGTAACTTTGTTTACAAACTAATGTTTAATTTTACTTGATGGATCTTACAATAGCGCTGTTTTGATTGGGGATGGTTATTTGCTGTGTAATGGGCAATATTTAGGCCTCTGTTGACACCCAGACTCGGATTATTGTCTGCTTATTATTATATTCCACAAATGGAACCTTGCTGAGCCCAAATTCATTGTGTTTCCTACAATTTTCAGAAATAGGTACTGTTACAACTGAGGCTGGAGGACTGTTTCATTGCTGTAGTCCCTCAAATCCGTGGGTTGTACCATCAAAAACCATACTTTTCCATTTACCGAGATGACCAATTAGATGCCACTATGCCAGCTTTTTAAACAAAAGGGCCTTTCAACTAGTGTGGGATGTTATGGAGTCTGTTGCTTTGATATACTGGCACATTTCAAGTCATTATTTATACACAGTTACCTTTGAAGTCTTCAAGACACAGCTTGCTCAGGAATTACCATCTTGGAATTCTTTCAATCAGTCTTTCAAATATGTTTTACCCTGAACTCATGGAGAATCTTCCTCTCAGAAACAAGAGAGATCAGCTGGGTAAAGCAGGCTGACCTAAATTCCGAAACAAAAACAGAAATTGCTGGGAAAACTCAGCAGGCTTAGCAGATTCCGTAGAGAGAAAGCAGATTTCATAGTTTGGATCTAGCGACTCTTTGTTAGAACAGACACTACTTGTTCCCTCCAATTCAGCTTGTCCTGAACAAGCCTTTCTCCAAATTGACTTGTTTATGGCAGGATTTCCTCCAATACAGATAGATAAAGCAAGAACATCTCTGAGTTAGTCACTGTTCAGAAAAATCTACAGCAAACCAAGCAGTTATCACCAGTCATATGATTTCTAGGTAGCCTTGTAAAGAAAAATCTCAATGTCCACATTGAAGTTTAAGTGGCCTCATTTAAAGCAACTACTCCACACTGGTCCACAAAGGTTGAAATAAATTCCTTTTTTCTCATAATCCTTCAAAATTTAAGTCCTCCAAACAATCAAAGTTTTGGCGAAGATCTGTAGCTCGGGTTGGGGGTGAAGTTGTTGACTTACTCGCTGAGCTGGCTTGTTCTCGTTCAGATGTTTTGTCACCGTGCTAGGTGACAACATCAGTGGAGCCTCCGATGATACGGTGTTATTCTGCCCCGCTTAGAATTTATACTGTTTGGTCCACTATGGTGAGTACTGTCATTTCCGTTTTGATCTATATCGGTTTGTATATGGGCTACTATGATTACCATGTCCCAGTTAAACTGATGGCGTTCATTATCTGAGTGTACCGATATTAAGGAGAGCTCATCGTGCCATTTTGCTGCTAGTTGATGTTCATCAATGAAGTAGAATTGATGAAGATAATGGAGTAGAATAACACAGTTTCATTGGATTCCACTGATGATGTCACCTAGCATGGTGACGAAACGTCTGAACAAGAACAAGCCAGCTCGGCGAGCAAGTCAACAGCCCCCTCCAAACAATATTAAATGTAAAGTGTCTTCACAGCAGCATTTCTCAAAAATTGGCTGTTAGACACTTAGGGATGTCTAAGGCTTTATTTCTTTCCTTTTCCTTCCTTCCATTTTTTTCCCATCCTATAATCACTTTTGTGTGAGCTTTCTGTGTTTGCAGAATAAAAGAGCAATATTTAATACTTGCACGGTAGTAAGTGTGATTGGTTGAGAACTTGTTGTTTTTATTTTACCAACCCAGCTAATTATCATTTTATTTATTGCGATTTTTACTTTTTATGTTCTTGCTCAAAACAGATTCAAAATGTTCACTTGATACATTAAATGCTTCCTTAACCTGCCCTGCCCCCTTTAATGCCTTATATATATATATACATCCCTCTATCATGCATGGCCTTTAGAGTTGTAACTTTTATTTAGACTCTTTCTCCATGTTTTTTCTACCAAAATTCTGTGTATTGAACTCAATCCAGCACATATACCCCCACTCCAGCAACTTATCAATGTCCTTCTGAAGGTTTACACTATTTTTCTCACTGTTTACAATGCTTCCACATTTCATACCATCCACAATTATGCCCTGTACCCCAAGGTCTTGATTGTTAATGCATAATCAGGAAAAGCAAGGGTCTCAACACTGATCCCTGGAGAATTCTATTATAAACCTCTACCCAATCCAAATGACTGCCCTCTGTTTTCACTTGGTAAATTTTGCAACCATATTGCTGCTGTTCCTTTTATTCATGTGCTCTAATTTTGTTCGAATGTTTGTAGTGTGGCACTGTATCAAATGTCTTATGGAAGCCCAAAGTATTATCTTGATCAATTGTTACTTCTTCCAAAAAAAATCCAGCAAGTTAGTTAAAAATAACTTTCCATTAGGAAATTTATACTGGCTGTACTTAAATATTTGTCTATGGTACTATTAATGTTGTCCCAACATATTGGTTCTAGAAATTTTCAACCACCACAATTAAGCTGACTGGTCCGTAGTTGCATGACTTATTCTTGCATCCTGTTTAAATAAGGCATAACGTTTGCAGTTCAGAAGGTGGGTGTGGACTCAATGGGCCGAATAGCCTGGTTCCACACTGTGGGGATACTATGTTTCTATGATCCCTCTGAACCTTCTATATTCAGCCTGACTTTCAAATAAATTTTCAACCTGATATCTGTCATAAGTGCAATTTTTTTCTTTTGAATCTTATCTTCTACCTCTTTTGTCATACAAATATCTGAATTTTCCTTACCTTTCCCAATTGAGGGAATATACCTTAACTGTGCCCGAGTAGTATTATTTTGTTGACCAGGGATTAAGAATACCTTCCTTGGCAGTAATTTTTTATGGCTCTTTTTCTTATTTGATCAAATTATAAGGATATAATCAATCCTTTGCTAGGAGGGGCAAGAAAAAGCAAATTCTACGATAGAACTATTTCTGCTCATGTTGACTTTCTCAATGGTATGGAAAAGAGATGGCTGAGGATACAATGAAGGTCCCACCTTCTCAACCTTGCCTAAGGCGTGGTGACCCTCAGGTAAAACTTACCACCTATCATCTCTCTCTAATGTGAGGGCAGCCCTTGGTCCTCTACGACTATGGCAACATTTCATTCAGGCAGCACATTAAGCACTCACTGGAGGCAGAAGGACCACAGTAGCCCCTTTTTCAACCATGCAGAAGCAGATCACATCAGTTCAAAAAGGAAGGTTGAAGCATTCACAACAATCTCCAACAGAAGTTCCAAGTGGATGATCCATCTTGACCTCCTTTGAAGTTCCCAGCATTACAGATGCCAGTCATCAGCCAATATAGATTTCTCCATGTGATATCAAGAAATGGCTGGAGACACTAGTTATTGCAAAGGCTATGGGTACTGACAACATTCCAGCAATGATACTGAAGACTGGAGGTCCAAAACTTGCTGTATCTCTAGCCAAGCTGTTCCAAGCTGTATGTCCTGCACATAAAAGGCAGGTCAAGTTCAAACAGGTCAATTATGGCCTCATCAATCTTCTCTCAATTATCAATAAAATGATTGCTGGTGTGATCAAAAGTGCTATCAAGAAGCACATGGGAACGCCATCACCTGCAAGACACCCACTTGCTAAAGTCAAACACCATGTACACCTGCAAATGAGTCACCATTCCTACAGTGTGTTGGATCAAGACCCTGAAACTCCCTCATTCATAGAACTGTGGTTACACCTCTCCCAGATGGACTGCAGTGGTTCAAGACAGCAGTTCACCACTATCATCTCAAGGCAATTAAGGATGGGCAGTAAGTGCTGGACCTGCCAGCATAGCCCACATTACTTGAATTAATTTTTAAAAAGGAATAAAAGGTGGGTTACTTTCAAATTGACTGAATTAAACTGTATATTATAGCTAAATAAGCAAAATAATTTAACTGTCTAAATTGAAAGGTTTACTAGTGAATTGGTCAGATTGCCCCATTTCCAAAAATACAGAAATATCCAGGATTGAATTTAAGGCTATGTGTCAAAACACAGGTAAATAATTACTGTACCAGTACTTCAATTTTAGCTTCTTCCATTACTGATATTGTACCTGTATTGCCTTGCAGTCCCGCAAATAACAAGTCTGATTCTTCGCCAAAGGGATCTCGTCACCATGTCACTCGACGTCCACGATCTCCCAGGCAAGATAATGTGAACAAAGGTAATGCAGCTCAACATTGTGTTATCATTGCCACGGGTTTATAACCCATTTAGTGCTACAAATCTCATAGCTTTCCACTCACTTCAGTGATCTACCCTTGTAATTGAACCCTATCTCCATTTATGGTTACTTAAAACAAAGCTTAAACTTACTTTACAATGATTGTACTATTTCTACTTAAGAAATGAGTTTAATTCTGATTTGACAAGCTGAAGGATTTTAATGTAAAGAAAATTATTTTGCCCAGTTTTGGAATCAACCATATGTAATTTGAATTTCCAGTAAGGTTATGAAAGGAAAGCTTGTCGAAAATTTCTCTTCGACAGTTGTTTTGCCATGTTGTGTGCAGCCCTGGCAGGAGCACTGCATGCTATTTTTATTGGAAATTCTTGCTGAAAAATTTAATTGAAGAATCACGGTTCATGGAAGATGTCACAAAGGTCAGGAGAGAAGACTAAATAAATATAACTTAGTTAATACAAAGCATAAAATTTGAGACTGTTTACATTATAGAAAGTGATCAAAGGAAGTGAAAGGTTTTGTGGAAATTTTGAGGTTCTCGCAAAGAATTGAGAAACGGACTTACGTTTATTGAATCCTATAGAGTTTCGTTGTTCTAGTGTTGTTCAGTAGGAATGGGTACATTTTCATTTCCACAGCAGAACTACTAGTGGGGGGAATTGCCAATTGAGCTGTTCTCCTGAGCACCCTAAAGATGTGCAAGTAAAACTCTTGTTTGACTGTATCTGCCAGAGTTAACTAATGCACCAGAGGGCACTCTTGTTTCAAGCACTACAGTGTTTTCATGCTTCTCAAAAATAGACCTCCACAGAGGGGGAAGTAAAATGGAAGAATGCTGCTTCAGCTGAGGACGTTCCTGCACAAAGACTCGTTAGCCGGTCACTTCCCTACCCAGTTAAAAAGTGTTGGATTCCCTGGGAAACAGGGAATAAATGAAAACAGGAAGTTAAAATTGTCTGAAAATCTATAAATTCTTCATTCTGCAATGATTTTAAGTGAAATTTGGGTTAAAAAAAAAAGCAGATACAATTTAACCTATGGCATAATCCTTTTTTAATGTCTATTAGATCCATAAATTCTTTTCAAAATCTGAGAAGGGATGACCTTGTTGGTAGTAGGGATGGCTCTAATCCACTTCCAAACTGCACAGTCTAATTCTTTAAGGTGTTGTCCAGAAATCTATAAAATGTCAACTGGATTCCAAAAACCTGTTTGTGATTCTCTCTTCCTCAGCTCTCGTCAATATGTACTAATGCAGAAGTGTTAGTTGTTAAATTTTAGGTGAATTTTCATAACAATCAAAGCTAGATCTATGGAACTAATTTCTTTGCACATCTTTCAAGGGTTACTTTCTAATCAGTTTTTGTGCTTTCCAGTCAAGTATGCTGCTGGGAAAGCACTTGAGCGATACTAGAGAAGCAGTGCTATCGTAGAATTCATTGCGACTTTTTCTTTGTTACCTCTGCGAGTTTGCTTGTGTCAAAGACCGCTGTAACTACATTTTGCTTGTATTGCAAAACTTAGGATCTTTGGTATATAATGAAAAATAAGTTATTTAAGTTTGTTTTGTTGAAAGTAACAATTAGAAGAAATATTCCATTGTGTTTACAATATTGCTAATATAGTACAACCAGAAGAAATCTCAAGCCTAAACAGAAATTGCTGGAGAAACCCAGCAGGTCTGACAGCATCTGTGGAGAGAAAGCAGAGTTAACAGAGTTGACATTACTTCAAAAGAAATATCATCTCATTCCCCTTCGTTAATTGTCACATATATCACCATAGTAGCACCCTGCAGAGTACTGCCTTTGATTTTAAAACGAATGAATGTCATCATTTTAGTATTTGAGTTTAGTTAGAAAATCACTTGGCTAGTGAATGTACTAATGTCCTTGAGGAAAGGAGACTGCTATCCTTAACTGCTCTGGCCTACAGCAATGTGGTTGATTCTTTACTTTCCTCTGAAATGGCCTAGTAAGCCATTCAGTTGTCTCAATTGCTAGAAAGGAAATCAAATGAAATCAGACAGACAACCTGGCATGAACTAAGGCATCAGCCCTGTCAACCCTATAAAGTTACCCTTGCGAATATTTGGGAGGTGAGTGTCCAAATTTGAGTGAGCTATCTCTCAAACTAGTCATGCAACAGCCTGACATGGTCAGATTCTTAGAATCATACCTAATACACAACATCCCAGACAACACCCACCAGGAAGACAGACCCAGCACAGTGTAATACAGTCAAGAGGGAATGTTCCAGGAGTCCTTAACATTGACTCTGGACCCATGAAGTCTTATGGCACCTGATTAGTCAGTACTCCTACATGTTTAACACCACTTGGAAAATGCACCAATGGTGCAATTACTGACTGAACCTTGCCCATTAAGTAACATACATAAAAGTTATCTGGCTAAGGTTTCTCATTTTGGCTGCCTGTTTCTTTTTCCAGATGAAAGTAGTCTTTCCAAGGACAAGAGTTCTTGGTTGAACATAATGAAGAAAACCAAAAAAACAGTTTCAGGAGCAGCTTTTGGTGTTCGATTAGAAGAGTGTCAACCTGGTATAAATAACAAGGTAATTGGTTGTGTGTGTTTACTAGGCTATAAGTATTCACGCCTTAACACCTTGACATAGATACCTGGTTGGTATTTCAATTGGGGTTTTACTTCTGCTCTAGCATTCTCTCCCTTAATCCCTCTGCTCTCAACTGTCTCTCCTCTAAGACACTGTTTGAAACCAAGCTCTTCAAACAAGTTTTTGGTCTGTAGTCCTAATACCTTGTTGGTGGTTACCTTGGTGCTAGATTTTGTTTGATTGCAGTGAGTGCAATAAGATGGTTTACTATTTCATGAGCACTAGTGATTAGAGCATTCATAGCATTGTTGTAATGCTACTGAACTAATTATCTAGAGAAATGAAGTAAGCTCGGGAAGCACGAGTTCAGATCCCTTCTTGGAAGGTAGAAAAATCTAAGATTGATTAATGAATCTGGAGTAAAATATTGTGTGATTTAGTCATGACCCTGAAATTATTGGATTGCCGTAAATATTCATGTGGTTTACTAATAACCTTTGGGACGGTATTCTACCATTCTACACGTCCACAACAACATAATCGCCTCTTAACTATTCTCTGGAATAGCTAGCAAGCCACTCGGTTGTATCAAGCCTCTGCAAGAAATATGCTTGTGGATACATCAGCCATTGAAACATATAACTCGGTACCACCATCTTAATGATGAGCAAGAAATTCTGGCCTTGCTAGCGATGCACAGATCCCAAAATCAGATGAAAAATATATCAGTGTTTTTGGTGATAAAATATTTCATTTCATCTGTTATTTGTTTCCATTTTAGACAATGATGCTGTCACATTGCAATATTTAATTATGTTGTTCAAGTATTTGTGTGTTTGTGTTTATTCTTTCAGTTTATACCACTAATAGTGGAGGTATGTTGTAAATTAGTGGAGGAGAAAGGTCTGGAGTACACTGGGATCTATAGGGTACCAGGGAACAATGCCATGGTCTCCAGCCTACAAGAACAACTGAATAAGGGAATGACTGATCTAAATACCTCAGAAGAAGTAAGCTTCTAATTCTTCTACAAACATAATACTACCCTTTTTTCTTGTTTTGTATTTGCATGAGTAATTTAGAGGTATATTTGAAGGAAATTATCAGAGAACCCTTAACAGTTTGCTCATGTTTCTGATAGACACTGTGCAAAGAGCTGTCTGTTGAATATCAGCCTCTGATCGCAATCTATAGCCGTGGTGAACATGAGTGCAAACCTATACATCATTTAGCACTGTTCATGTAGAGGGCCGTAAGAAAGTTCAAATTTTAATCATGCCTTCAAAGACTCGTAATGGCAATTTTCTGTTGTAGTTTCCATACTTCACAAAAGAATGTTTAACAGTGGTGATTTATATTTGAGTAGAGCCTAATGACACATAATGGCTGCCTGTATTGAGTAATTTTGTCTTTGCAGAAATGGCAGGACTTGAATGTGATTAGCAGCTTGCTTAAACTGTTCTTCCGAAAGCTTCCTGAACCTCTGTTTACAGATGGTGAGTGAATCATTTTAATAATTTATTGTTTTCAGTTAGGTAACGGTCAATATACTAAAGTTACAGCAAATGTCTCTTTAAGGCAGTTGAGATCTGTAATTCTGAAGTTGTATAAGATGATCCATTAAGTTTCACATAAAAAGTGGAGAGAACGTTTTTCAGTTATTTGGTGCCTTTGGTCAAATGTGAAATGTGTCAAAATGTTTCTGAAACAACCCCAAGGAGGCACGCATCCTGTCTCCAAGTCACCCTTTATTTACTTCTGCTCTGACCAGCCAACTCCAAGCCAGTCTCTAGAAATGAAGAGACTGCCTGAGCCTCCTGTTTATATCTCTCAGCTAGGGCTTTCTGATTGGCCCACGCGAACAATCCCAATCAAGGATCTCAGTCACGGAGATCCACCTGACCTTCATTCCAATCACACATGCCCCACCCTTCCCCCAAAACCAAAGACCAGGGATGTAGGCCTGTTCTTTTGTAGCTTCTTCCGGGGCATTTTTGCCCCAGCTCCAGTTTCTCTGACTCGGGCATGGGCAGCGTGTACCAGACCATAGACTGTCTCTTGTGCCCAAGCGTCTCGGAAGAGTTTCCTCCTTCTCCTTTTCGGGTAGTAACGGTATTGAGGCTGCATCCATCTCGGAGTTTGAGGTTTCTTCAACTCTAGATGGAGGGGGAGAACCCACGATTTTTGACAGACTTTCTGGCCGTTCTCAGGGACCAGGTATGTTTTGCTCCTGCCCTATTTGTGATATAGCAGCTTTCAGGTGATCCACGTGTTTGTTCAAGACCACTGTACCTACCCAAACCTCGTAAGACACTGGGCTTGACTTCACGTCAACCCCACCTCGTATCTACGCAGGGCTGTTTCTGTGGTTTTGACACCAAACTTCGTCCACTGAAGTAAACTGTATAAAAACCAAAAGAACTGCGGATGTTGTAAATCAGGAACAAAAACAAAATTGCTGGAAAAGCTCAGCAGGTCTGGTAGCATCTGTGAAGGAGAAAACAGAGCTAACATTTCGGGTCCGGTGACCCTTCCTCAGAAGCAATTTTGTTTTTGAAGTAAACTGTCTGTCTTGCTTAGAGGAGACAAGTGGCCATCATTGGCATTCCTGCTGCTGGTGGGTTTAACGTTATGCAGAGTCTTTTCCCCATTAGCAATTCTGCTGGATCTATACAGGTATTTCTTCTATAAGATAGTTGTGTTCTTGCGTAACCTTGTGTTTTAGAAAATCGTGTTATCGGGAAATCATTATAGAAAATCACTATACCTTTAAGGCAGAAAGTTTGCGTTATCCAAACAGCGCCCACTATTTATCAATCGTATTAGAGCCAATTTGTGTTAACAAGACATGCACTTTAGCAGAACTACCCAGTAAAATGTTCTCCATCATCCCTTGGAAAAGGGCGTAGGCTGATGATACCCCAAAAGGCAGTCTTGTATATTGGTTCAAATCCTTATGGGTATTAATTGTGACATACTTCTGGGCCCCTCACCTAGTCATATTTGCAGGTACGCATGACTCATGCCCAGCTTTGTGAAGGATAGTCCGCTTCCCACCCACAACCAATTTTGTGTATGAGTCCTCTGTGTGAAGGATTGGGTATTTATCCAGCTGCGAGAACCAGTTTTCACTGTTTGCCTGTTTGCTTAAAATCCCCACAGGGACAAAGTAAGCCATCATGCTTCACAATCGGTATGACCAGTGCTGCCCATTCTGCAAACTGCACTGGTTAGATGATTCCTTTTCTTTCAAACCTTCTGATTTCTGTCTCTACTCTTGCACGTAAGGCAAATGGCACTGGGAGACCTTGCAGAATTGTGTAATTGCTTCCTGGTCAACATGCAATGTGGCCTTGGCTCCTTTTGATTGTCCCTAGACCTTGCTGAAAAACTTCTGGGTATTTAATTAGGACTTTGCTTGGGCAGCCATTTTTTAATTGGAAAATGTTGAGCCAATCAGGGTGAATCTTTCTCAACCAATTCTGTCCCCATCAAGCTTTGGCCTGAGTTTCTTACCACGATCAGTGGTAACTACACTAACTGCTTCTCAGTACCCTTAATTTGTAATGGTTCCCCAGTATAGGTTCTCCATCTAGCCGAGGTCTTGCACAAACTTAAGGGTTGGAATGCAGAGCGAATCTTCTTAAAGACTGGTTCTGTAACCACTAATGCAGCTGCACTGGTATCGACCTCCATGAGAACTGGGTGACCATTTAACCAGACACTTACTTTGAGTAGTTCTGAGTTGGATGTTGCTAAGCATGTTAACTGTTGCAAATAACATGTAGGTGGACTTTCCAGGGTGTGCACTTTCCTTGATACCAAATTATGAGTTATCTTACTGAAGTCAGGCCTCTTAGGCCCCCTTTACTGTCTCCAATCTGCATACTGGCAGCAACTGCAATGGCTTGCCAGCCTGGATCTGAAGAACATCTTAACTATTTGGCTCGTGTTTGTTTTGAGGTTTTGTTGTGGGCAGACCTAGGGTCCCCTGGCTCAGGATATGCCCTGTGTGAGAATCCACAATTGCCTAGACTAAAGTGTGTTCTTCAAGTTCAGTCGGTCAGGTGAGGGTGCCCAATTCCATTGGGATGCCCTGTAGCTCACATGCTCCGCATGCCACATTTTCTAATGACAAAGCCAAATTGTGGCACTTGTTTCGTCCAGTTGGTCTTTAGCTAGTAGGTGTTTTTGCATGATTGCATCATTAATGCCACATACCAAGTGGTCTCTCAGCATCTCCTTCAGAATTAACACAAATCACGTGCCTCTGCCAGTCATCTTAACCTCGTCAAAAATCATGATACGGATTCCCCTGATTCTTGAATTGCCATATAAAACTGATAGTGTGTCAGAATTAGGGGAGGCTTGGGGTCATAATATTCCTTCGTTAAATCCATCAACTCTTGAAAGATTTTAATATCTGGTGCCTTAGGAAAAGTTTGCTGCTAATAAATGAAAATGCTGTGGTCCGCAAGCAGTCAGAAGAATTATTCGTTGCTTTTCATCTGCCCCAATGTCATTTCCTGGAATAAATAGCGCATTATTTCCACATGCTGGCCCAGCCTTCGGCAGGATTGAACTAGTCAAGGTTCCCGAATAAAAGCATGATGCTAGGAATGCTTACCCCAACTCAAAGACAATCACTGCAAGTGAATTTTCTTCAGGAGCATACTGTTTTCTCTTATCGCCATTGAAATTACTGCACAGAGGCAGGTATCCCATCACCAAGTTACCCTTTATTTATATGTGCATAGTGCACCAGCCAGCTTAATCCTAGAAATGAAGAGACTCCCTGAACCTCCTGTTTATATCTGTCAGCCAAGGCTCCCTGATTGGCCCTGGTTAACAACCCCAATCAAGGATCTCATAGTCACTGAAATCCACCTGGCCTTCGCTAGAGTCACTACAGTTTCAAAGAAGAACTTGGAAGTACAGTGGCTATAATTTAGACAAAAAAAGCCAACATGTGCGTAGCATGAAAAAAACACAACGAACTGTGATTGCTGGAAATGAGAATCAGAAGTAAAAATTGCTAGAGAAACTCAGTAGGTCTGGCAGCATTTGTGGAGAGAAAGCAGTGATGCTTCTTCAGAACATGTGCATAGCATGATTACATAAACACAGTGCAATGAATTACTAGTTAATTTGTTCATTTGGTAGTACAGAATATGACTAATGCTGAAAAAGATACATTTTGTTTAGGCTTTGCATCTTGCAATCATGAAGACAATTTGCAAGAAATACTAAAGTAAAGGAAAAGCAACATTAATATTGTATGAGAAGCGAGCGCTGGTTGGTTGACAAGTGGACTCTGATTAATAGAGGTATTGCCTTGGAGAATTTGCTAGTTAATGATGATTGATCGTTAATTGCCAAGCTTTGTTTAAATTTTAAATCTTTGAGGATCCTCTTATGGTGCAATAGTAGTGTCCCTTCCCCAGGACTGAGAGACCAGGGTTCAATTCCCACCTGTTCCAGAGGTGTGTAATGACATCTCTGAACAGATTGATTAAGAAAATTAGGTTAAATTAAAAAAAATTAAACTTTAAACCAGGCAGGTTGTCTGTGATTAGTCAAGGCATTATTCAGAGAAACAATCCAGAGGATGGCTGCAAACTATTTTGTTGAGTTGAAACAGATACAGTGTGTGTACGTGTTCTTTGAGTCTACGACTAACAAAGTCCTGTGTATTAATGTGTAGCTTCCAGTACATGCAAGTGTGGCATAATTTTTCACATTCTCAGGATTACTTACCAAATATTGTCTACTCATGAAATCATATCTAATGTCGGATATTGTGTTGTGAGTTTTGCAAGCACAGGCTGATTTGGTACGATAGAATAATCAGACTGTTTTTCATAACTTATGAACGGACCTAAATCTGTCACCTTTTGGTTCTGAAAATTGCTCACTGTACCTCAGGTTGTTCTGAAAGGTAAGGTATCAAAAAGATTTTAGCCATAAGCGAAGCTAGCTGTTTCACACTACTACCATGTGTTTTTGCTTCCTCCAGTGTTCGTCAGGCTGACCTCCCATCTACATCCTTCATAGTTTGAGATCAGCCAAAACTATGTTCTGACTCAGATGTGATGGCGTTACCAACGAACCAAGTTGCTAAATAGCTAACCATCTATTGATGTTGCCTGTACTTTACAGATAAATACAATGATTTCATTGAAACCAACAGACTGGAGAATGCGACAGAAAGGCTTCAAAAATTTAAGAAACTGGTAAATCCTACTACATTACATATCCTAACTGTCACTCCTTGTGTATGTTCTAACTCTAGTTATATATACTTGTATTTGCAATTAATAGCAAAAATTAATACCTACAGTTTCTGTTGGAAATTAATTAGAAGTTAAAACTGATATAATCTAGATCTTTAAATTATTTCCTGAAATCACCAAAAAACTTATTTCTTCTAAGGAGATTAATCCCAACTTCTGTAGTTTCTCCATGTAACTGAGTTATTTCATTTCAGATATATCTCCAAGACTGGTTAAAGTGAAGTGCTGAGAATTAAAGTATTGCTATTAGTTACTCCATATTTCATTATCAATTCCATCTAATTCCTCCACATTTTGACATATACACGATAACTCCTAATGCTCTTGATTATCTGGAATCTATCTACCTCTGCTTTAAAACTAATTCAAAGACTATTCTGACTACCTGTTGCAAGTTCCAAAGACACGTAACCATCTGTAAGAAACAATTCAACTCCATGTTTGAAACAGTCAGTTCTCGATTCTCCCACAAAAGGAAAAACCTCATGTCAAAACCTCAAAGGATTTATATGTATCAATCAATTTGCCACTGACTCTTTCTAAACTCCAGTGGATTCAAGCCTAGCCTGATCAACTTTTCCTCAAAAGTTAACTTGTCCACACCAGCTTGCTGTAGAAAACCTTCTCTGAGCTGTTTCCGCTGTTTAAATTTCAATTTTTTAAAATTTCGAACATTTTTTAAAAATTACGGCAATCTTGTAATTACCACTGATCATGATAAAAACCCATCTGGTTTACTCATGTCCTTTGGGGGGGAAATAATCTGCCATCCATCCCTGGTCTGGCCTAGATGTGACTCCAAACCAATAACAATGTTGTGGATTCTTAACCGTCTTCTGGACAATTAGCCTTGGACAATAAATGATGGTCTAGCCAGCGATGACCACATCCCATGAATGAATGATGAAGAAAAATGTGATCTCACCAATGCCATGTATAACTCAAGCATAATCTCACTACTTTTTATTCAATTCCCTTCCTAATAAACAACAGGAATAGAGTCATGGAGGTCTAAGCACAGGAAAAGGCCCTTTGGCCCATCGACTGCACTGGTCAAAAACAGGCAGTTAAATATTCTAGTCACATTTCCAACACTTGACCCATAGGCTTGAATGCCTTGGCATCGCAAGTCCATTTAAATGTTTGTGAGGGTTTCTGTCTCTACCACCTTTACAGGCAGTGAGCTCCAGATTTCCACCACTCTTTGGATGAAAACATTTTTCCTCTCACCCCCTCTAAACCTCCTGTCTTATTTCTATGCCCCTGAGTCATTGATTCCTGCACCAAATGGAAATGTTTCTTCCTGTCTACTCTGACTTATAATATGAAACATCTCAATCATGATCCTCCAAGGAAAACAAGTCCCATACGTCTGATCTCTTTATAGAACTCTCCAGCCCAGGCAATATCATGACAAATCTCCTCTGCATCTCTTTAGCGCAATCATGACCCTGAACGCAATACTTTAGCTGATGTTTCAGCATCACTTTCCTGCCTTTAAACTCTGTGCCTTGGGTAATAAGGACAAGTATCCCATTTGCCTTCTGATCCACTTTATCTACCTGTCCTGCTACCTTAAGGGACCAGTGTACATACGTACCAAGTTTCCTTTGATACTTGGTGCTTCCCAGGGTCCTACTGTTCATCCCTGCCTTGTTCGTCTTACCAAAGTGCATCACCTCACACTTGCCTGGAGTGAATTCCATTTACCACCAATCAGTCCATCCAACCAGCCTGTCTATATCCTCCTGTAATCTAAGACTATGCCTCTTCACTATTTACCATGCCACCAATTTTCATATCATCTGCAAAACTAGTAATCAACCCTCCTGCATTCTAGTCTAAAGTATTTATATATACCACAAACAGCGAGGGCCCCAACACTGATCCCTGTGGAACCCTAGTTGTTTCATCTTGACAACTGGAAAATGATCCATTTACACCTGTGTGTTTCCTGCTAGCTAGTAAATCTTCTATTTATGCCATAAGATTATCCCCTACACCATGAGCTTTTAAAGTCTGCAATATTCTTTGATCTAGTGCCATATCCAATGCCTGCTACTTTCTCTCAACTTTTATATTTCTAGAGAGGCCAGAAACTTCAATGAAGCACTTACGTTTTAGTCTTTAGACTCATTAGATTTTCTAGTAACTGAGTGTATTGTTGAATAATTATAAGACTTCTATCATTTCAGCTTCGGAAATTACCAGAAAATTATTTTGAAACCTTGAAGTTCCTCACAGGACACCTGAAGACTGTAGCGGATCACTCGGAAAAGAACAAGGTACTCTGTGAATTATAATCTTCATAGTTTGACAGTTGTTTGAGTACCACAGCTAATATTGCTGTTTCCACAGTATTTTGTACATATGTTGTGAATTACTGAATCCAATATCAGCTCACAGTGCCATGTGTTGATGTGGAAAATATTAGGAGGTGCCACACCTGTTGTTAAATGAATAGTCAAGTGAATTATTTTGAAAGAGTAAAGAAAGCTTGTAAGTTTTGCAAAAAATTAGTACAATAGTCTCCTTGTGCTGTTTGATTCTGTGTCCTCACATAGTGCACATGCATGAATTTGTTGCCTGTGCTGTTATTCTGCTGCCCCATGCTTAGCATCGAGGGCAGAATTGTTCCATGAACAAAAACAAAGTTGCTAGAAAAGCTCAGCAGGTCTGGCAGCATCTGTGAAGGTAAAAACAGAGTTAACATTTTCAGTCCGGTGAGTTCTGAGGTAGGGTCACCAGACCCGAAACGTTAACTCTGTTTTCTCCTCCACAGATGCTGTCAGACCTGCTGAGCTTTTCCAGCAACTTTGTTTTTGTTCCATTTTGAGTTGATGTTTTGGTTTTAGAGATCCTTGGCACCTGGATTGCCATGGCGCAGTGTTACTTTTCTCATGTAGTCTTCCACCACTCACCACCACCTTGCACCTCTTCCCCCCCGCCCCTCCATGGCCGAATCATTTAACCGAGTTGGGTGCCCCTCTTTGGGAATCGTGTGGCCAGAGACGACACCACTGCCAGGATCCTCAGCTTTCCTCAGGTGCCATTTTTAAAGCCCAGCTGCACACCATTTCAGAACTGACCTTCATATTGCTCCTCAAGTGTCAACATTTTGGGGAGGTGGTGGCATAGTGGTAATGTTACTGGACTAGTGTTCCAGACCTCCAAGCTATTATTCTGGGCATGTGGGTTTGAATACCACCATCACAGATAGTGAAATTTGAATTCAATAAAATGTCTGGAATTAAAAGCTAACCTTGCAGAAACCACTGTTAATTGTCATAAAAACCCAGCTGGTTTACCCATGGCCTGTTAGGGAAGAAAATCTGCCATCCTTACCTGGTCTGGCCTACATGACTGCAGATACACTTCATTGCAATTGGCCTACCAAGCCACTCAATTGTACCAAACTGCTACAAAGTCTAAAGTGAATCAGGAGGCAGTACAGAGACCATGTAGTGTTACTAATATGAGGGGTTAAAGTGGTTGAGGTAGTGAGGAAAGATTCTGCATGCAATAGTGAGAATAGTTGATCATTAGTTCTAGTGGGATGTGGCTGAAGAAGCAGAGACAGGGTGAATGTGAGGTAGCAGATAGAAAATAGTGGCACTCACCTTGACGAACGAAGAGGTCATTGACCTTCTTGTGGCACTAATGGCCATTCCTTCAGGTGGCTGATACTGCATTGATCTTGGTGGCAACTTCAGATCAGGCTGGCAGGGTCCAATGTTGTGGCTTCCTCTGCTGGTCCCAGGAAAGAGCATGCTCCTACACTGCACTACCCTGTCAACCAGGACTTCTGGGTCTCTTACTGCAAGGTAGGGCACCAATTTCCTCTTGTCTGCCGTGCCTGGGCTATGTGTTATGAATCTAACAGGGCTATCTGATCTGCTAGCACTTCATTGGGTACACAAAGTTCTTTTAAGGAGAGTACCAGCACCAGGGATCTGAGGAATTGGGATAGCATCAGTCAAGTGGGGCACCATCGGGGTGTAGTACCTTGTTAATGACGAGAGAAAAAATGTAGTTTGATGATACAAAGATTGACTGGATGGTTGACAGTGAGGAAGAAGATCTTAGGTTATCAGAGGATATAAATGGATTGGGCAGATGAACAGATCAGTGGCAGATGGAATTTAACCCTGATGAGTGTGAGGTGATGCAGTTCCGAAGAAGTAATGAGACAAGGGAGTATTCACTGAATGGCAGGACGTTCAGAGGAACAGAGGGATCTTAAGGTGCTTTTTAATGGTCCTTGAAGGCAGCAGGATAGGTTAATAGTGTAGTTAAAAGGCATTTGGAACACTTACCTTTATCAGTCGTGGCATAGATTATAAGAGCAGAGAGGTTAATTTGGAGCTGTACAAAATCTTAGTTAAGCCACAGCTGGAGGACTATGTTTTTTTTTTAATTCATTCATGGGGTGAGGGCGTTGCTGGCTAGGCAGCATTTATTGCCCATCCCTAATTGTCCAAAGGGCAGTTAAGAGTCAACCATATTACTGCAGGTCTGGAGTCACATGTAGGCCAGACCAGGTAAAGATGGCAGTTTCCTTCCCTAAAAGACATTAGTGAACCAGATGGGTTTTTCCAACAATCAACGATGATTCACAGTCATCATTAGACACTTAATTCCAGATAGTTATTGAATTCAAATTCCACCACCTTCTGTGGTGGGATTTGAAACCAGGTCCCCAGAACGTTATCTGGGCTCTGGATTGACAGTCCAGCAATAATATGACCAGGCCATTGCCTCCCCAGTATTCTGATCAACACACTACAGGCTGGACATGATTGTATTACAGGAATGCAGTGGAGATTCACCAGATGTTGCCTGGGTTGGAACGGCTTAGCTATGAAGAGAGGCTGGATGAGCTTGGGTATTTTTCTTTAGAGCAGAGAAGGCTGAGAGGGAACCTGATTGAGGCACATAGGACAGTGAGGGGCATGTACAAAGCAGTTGTTCCTTTAGTTGAAGGGTCAATGATGGGTACAATTTTAAGGTGAAGGGCAGGAGGTTTTGAGGGGATTTAAGCAAAAGGTTTTTCACCCAGAGGGTGGTGGGAATCTGGGAGGGTTGAGACGGGAAACCTCACAACCTTTAAAGAGTATTTGGATGAGCGCTTGAAATGTCATTACGTTCACGGCTGTGGGTCAAGAGCTGAAAAGTGACACTAGTGTAGATTTAGAGTAGTTTTGTTGGTGCAGAGTGCCAAAGGGCCTTTTCTGTACTGTATGACTGAGGAGTTTGGGACAAAAGCTCAAGAAAAGCCACTGAGCCTTGCTGAGAGAAATCCTCCGTCAAACTGGACAAAAGTTTCACTTACCTGATTTCTGATAAGGTTTGGCCCCTAGTGTTTCTTTCTTGTCAGTGTTGTCTCTAGATTTTATTTGAGAGGCATAAAGAAAAGAGATTTTTTCAGCCTGTTACAGTTTTGCATTTCCATTGCACTTTTCCAAAAAAAATTGAAAAACCAGTTTTTTGTTTCTATAAGTGCTGTTTTATCTCTAACTCGTAAAAATGGGGTGGGGCCCTTGTCTAATTTCACTGTTTCATTGCCTCTGAATAACATTAATGGCAGCTCAGGTCTCTTGTCAAATCTGCATTGGTTTTCTGAAACTTGGCCATTTTTGTGGTCGTGAGTTTCCTATTGACATTTTAAACCATTTTGTACAACTGTTTCAGTCTATGAAAGTCCCAGGTAGTAAATCAGATAATGGGATTACAAAATCAATTGTCTGCATGTTTTGTTGTGACACCCTGTAATTATCTTTTAGTAAGAGTGACAGGACCAAATTGAGTCTTGTCACCACTCACTCTGGGAGTGTACTGGAAATCAAGCTCCACTATTCCTATAGTTGTCACAAATGGGAAAATTCAATCAAACTGTCCAAAATCTCAAGTTTACCTGACTGCCATATCTGGGTTAAAAGAAACACTCACCTGGTTTCTGTCCTTAACAAGAATACAACTTTAAAGTTTTTGAGAAGATTTGTAGCTCGGGTTGTGGTTGTACGGCAGGGTGATTAGTGAGTCTGGTCGTGTTGTGTCTTCCTGTTGTGGTTTGTCTCGGAGGTTATAGCAGATTGTGCTTTTTGGGCATCCATTCCTTTTGAAGACTCCATATGGGTGCTCCTGTTCTACTTTGTGTAGTTCCGGGTTGCTGCAATATGTTGTGGCTTGTTTAAATGGTGTCCTCATGTAGCTCTGTTTGGGCATTAGGGTGGTTGCTAGAGTAATTGAGTATCTGGTCCGTACATGTGGTCTCTCTATATATGCTAGCCTGGAGTTCCCTGTTGTTTTGCATTCTACCATTATGTCCACAAAGGGTAGTTGGTTGTTCTCCTCCTCTTCTTTTGTGAATTTTATCCCGGTGAGGATGTTGTTTATGTGTTGCTGGGTTTCTTCTAGTTTTGTGTGTTTAATAATCACGAAGGTGTCATCTACCTATCGGACCCAGAGTTTGGGTTGTATAGTAGGGAGCACTGAACGTTCTAACCTTTGTCTTACTGCTTCTGCAATCAGTCCTGATATTGGGGATCCCATTGGTGTTGTGTTGATTTGTTTGAATATATGGTCGTTGAAGGTGAAGTGGGTTGTGAGGCACGGATCTAGTAGTTTCATGGTGGTGTCCTTATTGATGTTGTTGGTGTCCTGGGTTGACTGCATACATGATTCATCCAGTAGTGTGGCAATTGTCTTTTTGACTAGGTCGATGTTTATGGATGTAAATAGTGCTGTTATATCGAAGCATATCATCATCTCGTCCTCTTCTATCCTGGTGTCCTTGATTAATGCACTACTAGCAGATATAGACCCATCACCACAGTTAGGGAACCGGATTACAATGATCCTGAAGAAATTACACAACTCAGGAGATATCAACAAGAGGACTACCAAAAAAAATGAAGCCAACACACCCCGATTCTACGGACTCCCAAAGGTACACAAACTGGGGGTCCCCCTCAGACCCATTGTCTCACTACCAACATATAGTCTAGCCAAAGAACTACAACAGAAATTGAAATATTTAGTGGATAACACTATACACCCATCCATGCATCCCAAGAATTCCTCAACTTTGTCAAAGACACTCACTAATCACCCTACCGTACATCAAGGACATTTCAGAGATGACCATAAGACTACTCAGACCCCTAGGTATAATGGTAGCCCACAAACCGACAACCACCCTGCGACAGCTACTGACAAACGTAAATGATCCCATACCCAGAACCAGCAAAACTGGTATAATATACAAAATACCATGCAAGGACTGTGAGAAACACTACATAGGCCAAACCAGAAGAAAACTGACCATAAGGATACACGAACATGAACTAGCCACCAACAGACACGACCAATTCTCACTTGTCTCACTACACACGGACATTGAAGGATATGAATTCGACAACACCTTCCGTAATCACACAAGCCAAACAGAGACACGCCAGGGAATTCCTGGATGCCTGGTATTCTAACCAGAACTCCATCAACAAGCACATTGAATTAGACCCTGTGTACAAACCACTGAGAAACAGAACCGGAAGTAATACCAATCACCCCAGCAAACCAAGGCATGTAAATAACACGCGGGACAGAACACTGACGCTTCACTGGAGGCGCACTGACGATGTTACCGAGCAGGGTGACGAAACATTTGCATCCAAACCCACTGCTTGGCGAGCATGTCTACAACTTCATCCACAACCCAAGCTACAAACTTCTGTAAAACTTTAAATCACCCTCTAATGGTTGAATGACGTAAGCTTGTCGACAAACATGCAATGAGTTCTTCCACAGTCCCTAGGTTTAATACGGTATATTTTCCTATATTAAGTCCATAATTCAAAAAAAGCAGAGTTTATACTGTCTTGTAGTTTGATATTTTTAATTTGCCCATGATTACTCTAAACAGAAATTTGTACCCCAACCTGACATTGTATTTTTATTTTTGCTCCCTCAGATGGAGCCGCGGAATTTAGCATTGGTATTTGGTCCTACCCTAGTCAGAACATCAGAAGACAAAATGATTGACATGGTGACGCACATGCAAGATCGGTACAAAATAATTGAAACCTTAATACAGCATGTAAGTTTAATCTTTCTCTTGAGGGTTGAATTATTTTTGAGGAGAATTGAGAAGGAGTGCTTTGAAGGACAGAAATCTTTGATGGAATAATCACATACAGACTCTTGATGACTGTGTTTATTGAGCCAAATGGTGTCTTCTCACACCAGACCTCCTAAATTATATTGTGAAGACTTTTATACCTGTGTTATTCTCAAGGCAGTCTGATGTTGGTAGCTTGAATTGCTAGGTCAGCATGTCACAAAGTAGAAAGGCTAGTGTCTCACTGGAAAGACCGCGTTGCTGATGTGTATTTAGCAACTATTTATAGAGCTACAGTTGTAGAAGATCATGTTTGACACAGAGGCTTCAAAAAGTAAATTAAGGTATATGTTTAGGCCACTTTTACTGTATCTTCAAATTGAGATTTTGAGATATCATGACTCTGGCAAATATAATGGAAAATTTCAAATTCTGTTACAAACATTCATTTTCACATTTTTGTTTCTTTATTTCCATTTTGATTGGTTGGGTTATAACTAATCTACATTATTGTTGGTTATAAGCTTTAAACCAGTTTAGTTTACTGATTGATGTACGTTTTCGGAATTCTCCCAAGGCCAGACTCTCATTGTTCATTTTCCAGTGTGGGAAACATTTACTGTTTTGAGCTTAAGTAATTTCAGCAATTCAGTTCCGTGTATTCATTAATTGCATGTAGCAGGAGGAAAGAAATTAACAAGAAGCATAGGGCACCGGCTTTAGTTTTGCATAAGTTTATGAGTGGCAAACTTTAATGAGATTAAATATGTATTGTATAAATGAGAGAGATGAGATTTGGTATGTTGAATGCTATCAATATCTATTAAAATCTTTAGAATTTGAAATCTCTTTGTGATAGTCGTACTTTAGTTGAATTTGACAAAATAAATCCATAAGCAGATTATTGATTGAACTAATTTAGATGTGTTGTTGTGCCTGTCCTAGTTTCTCAATTGTTAATGTTGATAATACAATAAATATTTCTCTGCTTATAATTATTCCTAAAATAGTTCAGTCAGTTGTGTGACCTTCTGCTATCTGGGTTACTGCACCATTGGTAGATAGGCCACCTGATATTAGAGCTTAATTTGATCATTTTCAGCCTTCCCATCAGCGATAAATTCCAAATTTTGTATTAAAATCTGATAATGCCCTTAATTTTCAGATGGCAGGCTTGCACTTCAATCCTATCTTTAACAGATGTTTTGATACACAGTTAGCTGAATGTCCCTTTCCTTTAGAACAATTAATTCCAATTGATACAGTCTATCAGGGTGGCTTTGAGTATAATGTGTAAAAGAGTCTCATTTTCTGACTCCAAACTTTCTTTGAAAATTTTGCCCTGAGAAAGGTGTGCCGCACATTATATCTCCAAAATTTAGTTGGCCTTGTTTTTCTGTATTCTTGATGTTAGGCTGCAAATATTATTGCTGAAAACAAAAAAAAAGCAATAATTCAGTTGTGAGATTTTTGCTGAGAATATTTTCATAATCTAGTGTACTGTTCTTTTGTTTCTTAATATAATCAGTTTGTTTGTTTTTTTCCAGTATGATTGGTTTTTTAATGAAGACAGGGACATGGATGAAAAGGTAAGAACTCTTCAAACTGATTTTCAAGCAATTAACAACACAAATTAATGCAGTGCATGAACATTGAGCTAGAAGAGAATGATTAAGGAATTATTACAATAAAAAAAACCTCTAACTGAAAGTAAGTGGTGCTTTATAAATGAAACATTTGGAAAAGAAATGGAGGGATTTCTATATTATCAGAGGAAAAGAAGTGATGTCAGTAGAAACTGAACTCAGTTTGAATAACCTGAGCAATTTATACAAACGAGTTTAAATAATTTAGTGAAATTAACTGAAATCAGAAGATGACTTTTTAAAATACCTAAAAGTAAACTTTTCAAACTTTGGATGTGTCACATAAGCAACATCTTAATGACTAAGGACCATAGTGGTTTAGTGCACAGAAGGAGGCCATCCAGACCATTATTTGTGCTGTAGCTTCATTACAACAATCTAAAACTAGGTCTTCTGCCCATAACCACGCGTGGAATCTAATCCAGCCTGTCATGGTGGGAAATTTGCTAGAAAGGATACACCAGTCTAATTGCAGCAGGGAAATCTCCACGATCAAGTTGGAGCCAGGAAGAGGCAATGCAAGAAACATGCTCGCTTGCAGAAAAATGTCACTTAAATTAATTTAAGACATTTTAATATGCTCTACTGTGCATGAAATAACTGCACAGAGGCTGGTATCCCATCACCAAGTCAACCTTTATTTACTTGTGCACAATACACTGGCTGTGGCCAGCCAGCTCAGAGTCAGTCGCCTGGACTGAGGAGATTGTAAAGCCCCTGTTTATATTTTTTTTATACCAAGCTTCTTCCTCCAAAGTTCACGGGCTGTGGGTAGCCAGCTTGGAGTCGGTCACCTGGACTGAGGAGATTGTAAAGCCCCTGTTTATATTGGTCAGCCAGGGCTTTCCTGGTTGACCCAGGTTAACAACAACAATCAAGCACCTCATAGTTAACAATGTCCACCTGGTTACAATCACACTGTGCATCAACCTGGCATGTCCAGTTGGGTTTTCCAGCAGCCTTCCTGACAGGTGGCAATTTCTACATTCCTCATTGTCAGGCACTCTGTGGCTGATCATGCAACCCAGTATCAGGAAGGAGACTGCTGAAAGCTATCCCCTGCCCTTGCCAGCAACTACATGCACCACATTCCAGACCTTTCTCTCTACCCTCTCCCCACGACCTCAATCCCACCTTCCCTCACTTGTGGCCAGGATCCAGTGACAATCCCTAGTGAAATTGTTGAAGCATGACTGGCAGGAGCTACCACTACCAGTGGAACTGCCAGCAATGGAGAGCTGCCAACCTGTATTGTTTGTGTAGACAGTTTCATCAACAGTTGTCTAATAGCAGGTACATTTTAAAGGCTGATAAGTTTCACTTCAAAGTTAAATCAGAGTAGTATTCTCTCCTGAGTGTCATACTTGACTTATGGAAAATTTTGACTGACTGAAGATATCTAACATAAACACCCTTGTTTAGAGTGGTGTAAATACTTGCAAAACAATGTTGTAAAGTGTATTAGTGAATTAAAGTTTAACATTTATATAGTGCTTTTCATGTATTTCAGAAGTCTCAAAGCACTTTACAGCCGATGAAGTACTATGGAAGTGTAACCAATGTTGCTGTGTAGGAAATGTATTATTGAGACGAAATAAACTTTAAAATTTATTTTGCTGTTCTAGGCTCCAGTTGACCATGGGGGTAATACAGAATTACAGCCAGTACCAAACATAGACCATCTGCTGTCAAACATTGGGAGAACTGGAGGAGCACCAGGGGATATCTCAGGTAGCAGAAAATTTTCACGACTGTGTAGTCCTGACTCTTCTAAACTCATGTCAAGCTGTAGCGTAGAAGGAACTAGATATGTGATTTGTGTATATCATGGAAGTATTTCACAATAGTTTCAAGACATTTCCTTTTAAACTTTGTTTTATTTTCTTGATTATATAAACATTAGCTGCTTAAGCAGATTTGAAATGAAATGCTTACGCTAATGGAAGATTAATTACTGGAGTTAAATATCAGTGTGCATTCTTGAGTGGCACCTCTTGTTTGAGCTGAAGAATAGGAATTAAATTTCATTGTGTTTGAGCTGGGGTCTCAAAGTCCAATGTCAAGATTTCTTTCCATTCACAACTGATCTGATTTTGTTTATGTATTCAAATTATCTAGCTACATTAACATGATATCTAAAGTGACTCAAATTAGACAGGAACACACATTTTTGCTTAATTATATTTTTTCATGTGTTGTGGCAACTTTTAACACATCTTACAAAATTCTACACAAACTGTCTAAAGTGACCTTACTGTTCACATACAGGTATTTTGTATAAAACAATCTCTGACAGTGAAAATGCCAGTTCCTGAGCAAATCTGACATTAGTTACACTATTCATTAAGTTAATAGTAGTTCTGAAGAAGGGTCACTGGACTTGAAAAGTTAACTCTGGTTTCTCTCTACAGATGCTGCCAGATCTGCTGAGTTTCTCCAGCAATTTCTGTTTTTGTTTCAGATCTTCATTTGAAATCCTTTATGTTATTTTAGTGTTTCTAACAAATTGTTTCAAAGAACTAAGACTTTAATATACTACACGCTATAAAAATTATTACATACCATCTTCAAATAGTCTTGGGAGTGAATTAAGTAATCAATATTTAAGGTCACTTGCCAATGCATGCCTGATAACTACAGTTAGTTCCCACCCTTTTGGGAGCGCTGCTCCACAGACTAATCAAACAGCAACCTGGCATAATTTTACTCTTGAATTATTATTTAAGTCTTTTATTTCTGCTTCACCAACCTTGGATGTATGTCCTGTTCCACCAGCAGAGTAGAGGTGGCATGGCTTTGGAATTCCCAAACATAGACTCTGAATGGCACGAGGTCTTGTGCCACTGGTTCATTTATGGGCAAGGAAACCACCTGCTGTTTATTGTCCATCACCATCTCTTTGTTGCTGAATCAGTGCTGTTTCATGTTGAATACCATTTGGAAGAAACACTGAAAGTTGCAACAGTCCAGAAACTCCATCACCTAAATTGGCTCAATGGCATCACCACTGATTAAATTAACTGAGTCGTGAAGGACTTATCTTCCAAACTGACCTTGTGATTTTAGTGATAGATTGTTCCCTTTTGTTGGTTCTACTTGTTCTTGTCCTCAAGTGTCACAAGTATATTTATTTATGGTAGAAATGTCTGCAACGTTGTCCTGTCTGAATGGGATAGATTCAGAACAAATCTAGCAGTTTAAAATTCATATCTATAATTTGTTTGTGGGCCATTAGCAGTAGGAAAATAGTATTTGACTACAGTCTGGACCTACAGTCAAGTCAGGAGCTAACCTTTGTAAAATGGGGAGTATAGAAGTGCATAGCCAGGAGCATCAACAGGCACACCTAAAAATTCCATGTCAATCTAATGAAGCTACAACATAGAGCTTGCATGCAAGCAAAATAGTAGAGGCAATTTATAACCAAAAGCTCTGCAGTCCTGCCATATACAGTGATGCATTGTAATGGACAATTAAATAAGCTGAAGGAGGAGGCTACACAAACATCGCCATCCTCAGTTATGCTGCGCCAGCACTTGAATGCAAAAGGCTAGGCTGGAAAGTTTGTCACCATTTTCAGTCAAGAGTGCTAAACGAAGAGTCCATCTTGGTCTCCTCCTGAGGTCCACAGCACCATAGATGCAATCTTCAGTTAATTCAGTTCACTCGACTTGATATTAAAAAACAGCTGAAAACTACAAAGTCTCTGAGCTCTGACCTGATCCTGACTATGGTACTGAAGACTAGTTTGTCAGAACTAGCTGTACTCTTAGCCCAGTACAATACTACAACAGCATCCACATGTCAATGTGGAAAATTGACCAAGTTATGTTCTGTCCATAAAAACTAAGATAAATCCAATCTAGCCAATTATGCTCCATCAGTCTATTGTCAATAATTTGCAAAGTGATGGAAGGTGTCATTGTCAGTGTTATCAAGTAGCACTTACTTACCAACAATCCGCTCAGCAACATTCCATTTAGGTCTTACTAGGACCACTGGACTCCAAATCACATCATACCTTGAGTCAAACATGGACAAAAGAGCTAGATTCCAGAGGTGAGGTGATAGTGGCTGCCTTTGACATCAAGACAGAAATTTCCCAAATTGGTATCTAGGTGTGTAGGAACCTGTAGTCAATGGGAATGAAGGGAAAACTTCCCATTGGTTGGAGTCATGCCAAACACAAAGGGACACGGTTTTAGTTTTTGGAGACCAATCGTCTTGGCCCAGGAGGACATCACTGCAGGAGTTCCTTGTGTAATGTCTTTGGTCCAGCTATCTTCAGGTGCTTCATCAAGGACCTTTAGAAATGAGGATATTCATTGATTGCAGTTTTCAGTGCCTTTTGCACTTCTCCTGATGCTGAAGCCTCCATGTGCAGCAAAACTTAGACAACATTCAGTTTGGGCTGACAATTGCCAGGCAATGACCATCTCCAACAAAAGAGAATATAGCCATTGCCCCTTAACTTTCAATAGCCTTACCACATTATCAACATCCTAGAGGGACCACCATTGACTAGAGACCTAATCAGACCAACTAAATATGGGAGGTCAGTTAGCTTAGTGGCCAGAAGGCTGGTTTGTGGCATAGTGATACCAATAGCTAGATTCAGTTCCTGTACCAGCTGAAGTCATCATGAACGTCCCATCTTCTGAAACTCACCGATTGTCTGAGGTGTGGTGACCCTCAGGTTAAACCATCAACAGTCATCTCTCTCTATTGAGAAAGCTTCCCTGTGGACCTCTTGGTCTATGGTGACTTTACCTTTTACCTTTATAAATACGGTGGCTACACAAGCAAAACAGAAGCAGAGAATTCTGTAGCGAATATCCACTTCCTGTTTCCCAAAGCCTGTCCTTCATATGCAAAGTCAGAGTGTGGTGGAATACTTTCCACAGACCTGAATGAGTGCAGCTTCAGCTGCGCTAAAGGAGCTCAACACCGTCCAAGACAAAAGAAGTTCATATCGTCTGTAGCACTTCCATTACCTCAAAGTTTCACTCCCTTCACCACTGTTACGATGGTGGCAGCGTGTTCCATCTCCAAAATTTCTTATGCCAAATCACCAAGGTGCCTTTGGCAGGGCCTTACAAATCTGAGAGTCACCAGCTAGAAGAGCGATAGCATTAAGAACATGCTATCACCACAATTTACAAGTTTCTCTCCGAGTTAAATACCATCCTAACTTGAAACTAGAGATAGTAGGAACTGCAGATGCTGGAGAATCTGAGATAACAGGGTGTAGAGCTGGATGAACACAGCAGGCCAAGCAGCATTTCTGAAGAAGGGTTTAGGCCCGAAACGTCAGCTTTCCTGCTCCTCTGATACTGCTTGGCCTGCTGTGTTCATCCAGCTCTACACATTGTTATCTCTAACTTGTAACTATATCATTACTCTTTCACTGTTACTGGGTCAAAATTCTGGAACTCCCTCCTTGAAAGCACTGAGGGTGTACATATACCACAATATCCCTAAAAAGTGGCTCACTCATCCTTTCAAGGGCAATTATGGATGGGCAATTGTTGGTCTTTGCAGTGATCCTCAAATCCCACAAGTTAATTAGAACAAAAAACTTATGCTGTATCTGTGTTTATCTGCATTATTATCAAGGTCTCTGAGTCAAAAAACATTTTTGTATGCCTTTCAATAGTATAATGACTTGGAATAGGAAACTGGGAAGCACAAACAATCTTTCTTCATTTGCCAGGTGTTGATACTAGCTGGTGCCAAGCAGTAACATCCATGGATAATCACTTGTTTGCACACAATAATCGTTATCATTGCTGTTCTCAACTGACTATTCCAACTTTCAGCTGAAAGTCATTTATGATCTGACTTTTTAAAATGATTCTTGTTTAATTATTTGTGATATGTACTACAAAAGTGCATAGCTGTCAAACTGTCTTGTTTGATTTTTAAAAAATTAAACCCACTACTCACCCAAGTGTCAGTGGACTGAAACTGCCAAGTTTAAGCTCCAACTTTGCATGACCTTTGTAGTTGAGCCTCCATCAAATAAACTGTTGTTTGCAACCATGAGAAAGAAGTGAAGTGTAAAGCAAATGGTCATGGAATCACGTGGATGGTACTTCAGCCACCAGCAGATTCACAGGTGCCCACACTGTCTCAGCTATCTTATCAGCCAGAGTTCATGGTGTACTGCTACAAAAGACAGAGACTAGCGACAAATAAAACTTAGTTTTAAAAAGAAGGGATCTACTTTCTGAAGACCTGAAAAATACTATTGTCAGATAATTTTGTAATTTATGAAGTAAAACTTATGATCATGGTTCTTGCTATGTTTAGGATGCAGTCTGCCTTTGATTTGGAAATAATTTTTGTGTTAAGAAAATTTGAATTATCTCAATTCAAATTAAAGATTTGCAATAACACAGCACAGGGTTTTCAGAGTTTAAAAAACATTGGCTTAGCTAGTGATTTGAGTAAGTGATTTTGAATTATTTTATTCAGTCATGGGATTTACGTGTTGCATTTATTGCCTTTTAGTTGCACGTGAAAGTTGCTGGTGAGCATTATTCTTGAAATGCTGCCGTCCATTTGGTATAAGTAGACCCACAATGCTGTTAGTGAGGGAGTTCCAGGACCTTGAACACAGCAACAATGAAGGAGCAGCAATATATTTCCAAGTCTGATTGGCTGGAACCTGCAGGTGGTGGTCTTCCCATATATCAGCTGGCCTTGTCCTTCTAGATGGTAGTAGTCAT